TGTCAAGATAGGTAGAATATGACCCCGAGAAAGATAATTGCTGAAACTCTGATAAAAAACACACACACTGTCGAGAGATGTCCATGAGAGCAAGACTTAGCTGCATAATTAAGTAGCACCATATGTAAATCAGACGAACATACAAACATACAATCTTAAGTACAATGAATGCAAATATATAACACAACATCTTCACATACATATTTGCATGAAAAGTAAGCAGCCAGCCATCTCGATTGGTGTGGGGTGGTTATTTATAGCCGGAGTAACCTGAGGGTAAATGACCAATAAGGGTCTATGGCCCAGCCAATGGCGAACCAACACGTTTTTAACGGTCGGATTTCAAACTCACTCGACAACTTTGCTTGAGGAACAAGTAAATTTGATTATGCTTTATGGTAACCAAGCTCAGTCATAAAAGACTCAAACTTCTTATACCACTGCCGAGGAGTTTGTTTCAATTCATACAAGCTCTTCTTGCAAACTGAGTGCTCTCTGCCTACAACCATAAACCCTTCTGGCTGTTCCATGTATATCTCATCCTCTAGTTCATCATGCAAGAATGCAGTCTTCACATCAAGTTGTTAAATTTTCAAGTCCATGGTGACAGCCATGCCAAGCACAACTCAGATCAAAGACATCTTGACCACCGGAGAGAATATCTCATCATAATCGATGCCCTTTTTCTGACTGAAACCTTTCACAACCAATCTGGCCTTGTACCTTGGATGTGAGGTATTTTCTTCAGTCTTCACACTATACACCCACTTGTTCTTGACTGCTTTCTTGCCCTTTGGAAGGTTCACCAACTCAAAAGTATCATTATCATACAGGGAATTCATCTCATCCTGCATGGCTTCTGACCATTCAGTCTTGTTCTCATCAGACATTGCCTCCTCATAGCATGAGGGCTCACCTACATCAGACATCAACACATATTGATGTGCTGGATACTTAGAAGAAGGAATGTGACATCTTTCACTTCCCCTTTTTGGCTACACTGGTGGTGAATCAGGTGGATTTTCGTTGGCATCATCATTACCAACTTCATCATTATCATCACTTCATGGCTACTCATCACTTTGACTTGTACTTCCTTGATCAGTTGCATCTTCACTGTCCTAGTGTCATCATATCCCCCATGATTGTCATGCACGAGAGAAGGACAGATCAGGTCCTGAGGTGTGTTGGTCATTGGCTTCTCTGGTTTTGCAATATCTTTTATTGTTTCATATTCAATGAACACCACATCTCGGCTCCGCATAATCTTCCTACTGGCTGGATCCCATAACCTGTAGCCAAACTCTTCACTTGGTTGGCTGAGGTAGATGCACTACTTTGTCTTGCTATCCAGTTTGGATCTCTCATCTATCGGAACATGTACAAATGCCCTACAACCAAAGACCTTTAAATGCTTGTATGATGCCTCCTTCCCTGACCAAACTCCCTGAGAAATATCACCTGCAAGAGGAACTAAGGGAGATAGGTTAACCACATACATAACATTCATCAATGCTTCAGTCGAAAAAGAATTAGGTAAATGAGCATGACAAAGCATAGCTATGACCCTCTCTGTGAGTGTCCTGTTCATTCTCTCTGCAAGACCATTGAGCCGAGGTGTCTTTGGTGGACTCTTCTCGTGCCCGATGCCAAACTTCCTACAATACCTTTCAAAAGGACCTCGGTATTCACCATCATTTTCTGATCTCATGCACTTCAATTTCCTGCCAGTTTCTCTATCAACTTTGGCATGAAACTCCTTGAAGGCTTCAGGCATATGGTATTTGTGTTTCAACACATATACATAAACCTTTCTGGAATGGTCATCAATAAAACTCACAAATTATAATTCTCCACCATGGGATTTTTTAGTGATGGAGCAAAACATCAGTGTGCAAAACATCAAGACAATTTTCTGCATGATGTGGAGGGAGTGTACAAAATGCACCCTATGTTGTTTGCCAGCAAAATAATGTGCACATGGTTTCAAGGATATCCCTTTCAACACAGGGAGGTAATCCATGTGAGCAAGAGCGTGCATGCCCTTCTCACACATATGCCCAAGCCTCTTGTGCCACAATTCAACTGAAGTGTTTTTTTCAGCAATGTTCAACACCTCATTGCATAACTTGTTTTTAGTCACATAGAGATTACCTTGCCTACTTCCTCAAGCTACAATCAGGGACCTTTGGTGAGCTTTCACTTTCCTTCACCAAAATAACTAGGATGTTTGATATCATCAAGCTTGCCCACTTATGACAAATTTAGCCTTATGTCGAGAACCTGCCTCACATTGTCGAGCAGCAATCTATAACTTGTGTTTGTTTCAATGCATATAGAGCCCTTGCCAACAATTGTTGATGAACCACTATTTCCCATCCTCACTTGGCCAGTAACACCATAGTGTAAGATATGAAATACTACCTGTGTGATGTAATGTGGAAGGACGCACCTGAATCCACAACCCAACTCATGGCATCATCACGAACAACACTATACCATTCGTCATCTTCAATGACCAGATAGTCCTCATCTATTGCAGTCGGTCTTCTTTGCAAGTTTCCCCTCCGCGAGCTCTCTTTTGTACTTCTAGACTCGCTCTTTATGTGTCTCGGATTGCCACAATGAAAGCAAGTAATATCTTTTCTCTGTTTTGACTTTGATCTTCCCATGGATTTGCTTCTGTCTTGCTGAAATCTTGTATTGATACATCAACGGTTCTCATTCTTCCTATGGGTCTTAGCCACATACGCATCAAAAGAAAAGGCATCACCTTTTTCCTTCTTTCTGGCTTCTTCATCCAGCATACTGTTCTTCACCATCTCCAAAGTCAGCTTCCCATCCGGAGCTGAATTGCTAAGCGACACAACAAGTGTATTCCAACTATCAGGCATGGAACTTAGCAGCAACAATGCTTGCACCTCATCCTCAAAGTTTATTTTCATGGCTAAAAGTTGATTTATGTGGCATTGGGAGACATTGAAGTGCTTAATCACACTTGTGCCATCTCAGTACTCAAGCTTTGCAAGTCTTTTGATCATCGATGCCTTGTTCATTGATGTCTTGCTCTCATACGTAGACTCCGACTTCTGCCACATCTCATACGCATTTGTATCATTTGCAACATGGTGGATTGTGGTTGATGCACAACCGAATCATACCTACTGCCTTTCTGTGCAACACTCTCCATTCTTCTTCTGCGACACTGGTGGGTAACTTGTCTTTCGCAATTGGCTCATAAAAATCCTTGCAATGAAGTATGTCTTCCATCATGGGCTTCCATATTGAGTAATCAAAAGAATCAAGTTTTATCATGCGACTTGTAGTAGCACTTTCTTCCAAAGCCATTGTGAGCAGCACTTCCAGCAACAATCAAGCAACCGGGATTAGCAACCTTCTAAGCAGCCAAGGCTCTGATGTCACTCTGTTGGGGATTAGCACACAAATGGACTTGTGGTTAAATGAAAATTGGAACACAAATAAAGTAATTTGAGCACCACATCATGTACTAACTCAAGGATCGTTGCTTACTTCAGAAGGAAACATATGCAACAAGATATATGGAGGTAAAATATATTACTCAGCAGACAAGATGCTCCTCGGACAAGTGTCTTGTGGTAGGAGTAAGTTTTTGGACAGCAGCAAGCATCAACACAGAGACACCAGGTTTTTACGTGGAAAACCCCACAACTTGAGGAAAAAAACCATGGGCCGAAGCCACCCAAAATCCTATTCCACTATTATCAAATGTGGGACACAACAAGTTCTTTTCTAGATAGCACTAGAGGCTCTCATACATCAAGATTTCTGAATCTTGGATGAACACAACAAGATTTGGAGCTCAAGAGCTAGGGATTGGAACGATCTCACCAAAGATGGTGGAACCGGAACTTGAAGGAGACAAGGCAGTGGATCCAGGCCATCACAACCTTCAGGTGGAGCCCCCTTTGCTTCTTCTTTCAATCTTCCTCTTCTTCCCTTTCTCTCTTGGTTTTCTCTCTTCTGCTCCCTTGGAGGATGAACTGATTTTTCATCCCACTTGGTGGCGACTGCCGGATGGAGGGTAAAAGCATCCGCATCCACTCATGTGCAAAGTCCAAAATGACCCTAGGTCATAACCCTAATGGGTAGTCGGTTTCGGCACCTCACTGGGCTGCCTAAAAGGCTTCAAATGGCCATCCCCTCACATCCCACATGAGAAGGATATCCCAACAAGACGATGACCATTTCCGAAATAAGCGTTGTCAATTTTGTAATGCATGATAATAAAAAAATCACGAACACGTTTACAATATTTTAATACACGTGAAACATTTTCCAAAAACATGTTGACCATTTTTTTCAAATGCATTAACACTTTCTTTAAATCTTATGACAGTTGCATTTTTATTAGATTTCTTTTTTTTCAAATGGGAAAAAAATCAAAACGAATATGAACATGAAAAATAAAAAGAAAACTTTCGCAGACCCATAGGTGCATCATATGTAAAAATAAAAATAAAATCTTTTTTTGCTAGTGAAAATGAAATGGAAAATCGCCATAAGAGGTAAATAGGTATGCTATATATTGGTCTAACTCTTGTACATGAACAAAGCTGGGCTTGTTGCAAGGAATTCACACCTGAGGTCATGGTTTCAAATCCATTTCTGTCAGCTTTTTATTTCTTATCTCCCATCATTATTTTGCCCGGTATCATTCCTTATTATAATAAGCATTAAATCATCTTACTGAATCAGTTTCAGGAATATTTAAGTGATTTCCGTTTTCGTTTCGGCCAAAGGACTGAATTTCCCGCCTGAATTTGATTGAGATCAACCAAATATAAGGAAAAAAATCATAAAATGATTTTAATTTGTGTACACCACTGTAATTGCTGAAATATTCATAGTCAAATTTATCTTTTACATAGTCAAAAAAACATTAATGAAATTTCAGTGAAATTGCACTGAAAGTGTAAACCATGTTTACAGATACATACGATTGAGATTCAGGTGGTCTGCTATTGAACATTCAGGGACTGCCAATCATGGAATGACAGCCTGTCAATAGTTGATGGCTGGAATAGGAGTGGATTAACATCCCACCCTTTGAGGCTTCCTCTCGACCATCTCATCCTGACATTATCGATCTCCAAGATGGAGATTTGCTCCAGCATCATACCACCAGTCTTGTGCTTTACCAGGTCCTGGCATCCAGGCCTGTAGTCATACAAGCCCCCGGTATAGTTTGTCCATCTCTTGTAGGTCAAATCAACATTCTTGAACTTCAAGTTGCAAAGCAGGCTGTGCCTCGATCCAGCTAAGAAACCACCATTTTCTGATACTGATGAGATGTTGATGAAGAAAACATCTGGAATGGTGCCTTCTTTGGAACCAGGGTACCTTGGACAGGTGGTGATGTGGATCGGTTCAGCTCTTCCCCACCATGAAGGATGGTAGTACCTAGTGTGCATTTTGATGTTTGAAAACACCACATTACTGACGTTCCTTGCAAAATTACGCATATCCAAATCAGCTAGTATTACTTAATGCAAATAGCTAAATGCCACAAAGTTGCAGTCAAAATAGCAGCTTCCTTGGAAAAGATGCCACCGAATAGTTATTTTAGAAAAGGGGGATATCCCTGGCCTCTGCATCAGAACGATGCATACGGCCACATTTATTAAAGAACAAATAAGTTTAACAAAGGTCCTCAAGTCTCAACATGAATAAAGAAAACATGCTCACAAAGAGCAAGATGGTAAAAATAAATCCACAACTGGCTGTCAAAATAAAGATAGGAAAACTAATTGCCTATCCTATTACATGACCACCATCCAAACCGGTTGGATATAGCCCGAGATACCATCTCCCATCAGATAGATCCAGTAACCAAATGCTCCCTGGCCTCCGTCTGAGTGAGTAGCGACCACATACGGATCAACGCAGTGGCTCAGAAGATAACCTGTAAAAAATGAGTATTTGTTGTTCTATTAAAAAATAAATCATTCCCGCAGTTCCATACCGCCCATAGTAAAGCACATACTCCTACACGAATGTGTCTCGCTGTTTCGGAATCAATCCCATCCAGCCACGTCCCAAGTAACATGTTGATACTATTTGGAGGAGTAATATTAAAAGCAATGTGAATAGTCCGCCATAAAATTTTCGCCATCGGATAGTCAAGAAAGAGGTGTTTGAAGGTCTCATCCCGGTCACAAAAACTACATCTTGTAGAACCAATCAGTTACGTTTTGTCAAGTTGTCGTTAGTTAAAATGACTTGTTTGTGTACAAACCACATAAACACTTTAACTCTCAAAGGTACTTTGACGTTCCAAACATGTTTTGAACTAGGAATAGAGCTAGAGTTGATAACATCCAGATACATGGATTTAACTGTAAACTCTCCATTCCTGGTTAGCTTCCAGCACAACTGGTCTGGATGTTGAGGAAGCTGCACGTCCATCAGTCTTCTTACCAGATGGAGCCAGGCTTCCCAACAGACACCGACAAGTGTTCTCCTGAAATGAATATTAAGAGGGGTGGAATGAAGCATGGTTGAAAAGAAAGCATCTCTTTGTTGAACAATGCTATAAAGTGAAGGATATTGAAGCGCGAGGGGTGTTTTCCCTAGCCATGTATCCTCCCAGAATCTCATAGATGTACCGTTTCCGACTCTAAACGTTGTCCTGTTGAAAAAGACTGATTTAACTCTCATCAGACCTTTCCAAAAAGGTGAGTCTGTTGGCCTCACTGTCACCTAGTGTCGGTGTCAAAACCGACGGATCTCGGGTAGGGGGTTCCAAACTGTGCATCTAAGGCTAATGGTAACAGGAGGCGGGGGACATGATGTTTACCTAGGTTCGGGCCCTCTCTATGGAGATAAGACCCTACTTCCTGCTTGATTGATCTTGATGACATGAGTATTACAAGAGTTGATCTACCACGAGATCAATGAGGCTAACCCTAGAAGCTAGCCAATGATTATGATTGTTCTGGTCCTACGGACTAAACCCTTTGATTAATATAGACACCGGAGGGGGCTAGGGTTACACAGAGTCGGTTACAGGGAAGGAAATCTACATATCCGAATCGCCAAGCTTGCCTTCCATGCAAAGGAGAGTCCCATCCGGACACGAGACGAAGTCTTGTATCTTGTATCTTCATAGTCCAATAGTCCGGCCAAAGTATATAGTCCGGTTGTCCGAGGACCCCTTAATCCATGACTCCCTCAGTAGCCCCTGAACCAGGCTTCAATGACGATTGAGTTCGGCACGCAGATTGTCTTCGGCATTGCAAGGCGGGTTCCTTCTCCAAATACCCCAAGGTAGATCTTGAACACAAGAATCATGTCTGGCTCTGCAAAAAAAAATTCCACGTACCACCGTAGAGAGTATAAAATATCACGGATCTAATCTGCTGACAGTTTATTGGTAGCGTGACATTACACCACGGCCCGGTCAATATTCGAACCATTTTATCAGCCTGCCACAACGAGGCGGTTTCATTGGCACGCCTTTGTCAAAGCAGAGATCGTGTCCCCTCATCATGGGACACTCATCAATACGGGTGTGGGCACCCCAACCGCGCCATTAACATGGCTCTTAGGAAATAAGCAAGCCTGAGGGAATGTGGGGAGGCGCATGGTCAGCCTTTATAAAGGGATAAGGATCCCCCTCTTTCACCCACGTCTTCTGCTTCCTCTGCTTATCCTTCCTCTCGAGCTCCAACGCCCAAGCATTCGCCTTCTCCGCCTACTAAAGCGTTCCGAAAATGTACGGATCTGGAGCTGGAGGCAAGTGGATGGCCTCCACTAGCCAGGAGAAGGATATCGAGAAACTTCGGGAGGCCGGGTATCTGACCAAGAAGACCGTGCATCGTCTTCCGACGGCGGGATAGATCGTCCCTACCCTGGAACCCCACGAGAGGGTCATGTTCCTCCCTCACTTTGTCCGCGGGTTGGGGTTTACCCTCCACCCATTCGTTCACGGCATCATGTACTATTATGGGATCAATTTTTCATGATCTATCCCTTTCTTTCCTCAACATCTCGACGTTCATGGTCGTGTGCAAGGCCTTCCTCCGCATCCCTCCACACTTCGGATTATGGCTGAAGATTTTTAACGTGAACCCCAAGGTGGTGAGCAGCGAGCACACCGAGTGCGGAGGAGCCATGGTGAGCAAGATGCCCAATGTCACATGGCCATCAGGTACATTTAACGATTCCGTCAAAGGGTGGCAGCAACAATGGTTCTACGTCACCGAGCCACGTGGCGCCAAATGGGCCGTGGCTCCCGGATTTTGATCCGGAGCCCCGTTGCAGCTTACGTCCTGGCCCAAGAAGGGCCTAGACTGGTGTTCGCCAGATGAACTGGCAGTGATCCAGGCGTGTGTCAAGAGCATGGAAGATAAGAACATCAAACTTGTCGACGTAGTCCAAGTGATGTTGGTTCGCCGGATTATCCCATGCCAACGCAGGGCTTGCAAATTATGGGAATTCAATCCGGCTGAGCACCAGACCCTGACGGAGCTCTTTGGCTCAACACACGAAGATATCTGGAGGGTGCTCTTCAAGTACGACAAATCGTGGCCAGACTCGGCCGAGGACCGTGGGTACAAACTGTCCCGTCTCGCAAGTTTAGCAAGGTTTCAGATATTCAACCGAACATATGCTTTAGCCGCGTGTTTTTCAAAAGAAAGTGCTTAACATATTCTCCAACAATTTTCCTAGGCCTGGACGAAGAAGGCGGAGCGGATCTACTGTCTGGCCCCACTGCCAGAAGAGCAAGCCGTCCCACTCTTAACAAAGATGCTGGTCCCGGCGCCCTATAAGGCGCCCAAGAAGAGGGCCGATAAGAAGGCCAGAGGGACCAGGGGCGGCCTTCGTCGCAGGGGTGTTTCGGACAAAATGTCTGAAGACTCAGAGTCCCGCTCTTCCTCCGAAGTACACAAGGAAAAGGAGGAAAGCCGATCCCCCCCAGCGAAGGGGAGAAAGAAAAGAACGACCTCCAAACAATTGGAGGCCAAGTCATTAAGAGGGGGAAAACTTCCTCCGTAGACGATTCCACCACCGCCACCGACAACAGCCTGGAGTGGGATCCCAGAGTCCAGCCCCTGGTTAAATCGTGAGTACACAGAACCCGAATATATTAACATATCCGAACTCATTATCTCAAAATGCTGATTGTGTTGAGCCACGCATATTGTAGCCCGGCCAAGTCCCGCGCCGAGCAGTCCTCGTCGGAGGATTCACTAAGTTCGGATGCGATGGACAGCGGAACTCCCCCGACGGCCACCTCCCCCAAACATGCGGACGACGCCGAGGTGTCGTCCCTAATGGGCCTAGGCCAAGGAGGGACCAGAAGACCGTCTGAGCGACACTCGAGGGCCAAATCCTGGCGACCGGTCACACGGGGCCAAATCCAACACGGTGCCGAAGATCGTCAAGATTCCGGATTTAGGCAGGGAGCCCTCTTTGACAGAAGGGGGTGCGCCTGTTCCACCGACGACCTCTGTCCAGCCAGTGGTGCCAAATGCTTTGTTGGTAGCATTAAATAAAGCTTCCATCATTGAAGAACACCGCGTACTTATGGGTGCGGTGATTGAGAAGATTCAGTCAGCAGAAAGCGGGCTGACTGAAGCCTGCACTAGCCTTTTAATAGGTTTCGAGGTAAGTGATGAGGCTTGAAGAGCGTCATAGTATAGATAGTAGCCTCTGATACACTATTCGGCGTTCGTAAAGAAAAACCGGACATTGGGTCCAATGTGGGCTCGCAGGGGACTGACCATGCAACACCCTTATTTGTTTTTATGTTTTGTCTAAGAAGGCGTCGTTGTTGACCGCCGCTTCTCATACTGCAGAAGTCTATGGACTGAAGCAGCGTCTAGAGCGGGCCGAAGAAGAGCTTGGCCAAGTAAAGAAGCAGTTGGAAGATAACCAAGGTATGTAAAACCTTGTCTTGATTTATTATCAATCGATGATTGATTTTGATGAAGAACGTCATGCTGTCCGCCAGGAGCAACGTCTGAAGTCGAAGCTCTTAGGAAGGCGGTGGCCGCAGCCGAAAAAAGGGCGGCTAAGGAGCAGGTTGATCGTGAAAAACACGAGGCTAGGGTTATTGAGGTTCAACAAGAACTTCAGGAAGCTATCAAAAGGTGCGAGACCTTGGAGCAGAGCTTGTCGGATAAAGAAACCGAAGTCATCGAGTCTCGGCAAGCCGCACGCGATGCCCGGGGTTAGTCCCAAGGCGCCCTCCAGGAAATCCAAGAGGCCAGAAAGATCGCGGCGGGTAAGGCTTTTTCTATGCAAAGCAAGTATGTGGAGGAAATGTTCCTATTGCTAACCCGAATTCGGGGATCTCCAGGGGCGTTTGCGGATTTGCCGCGCAACATATCTGATGTCGCACAATTTTATCGAGCCGAAGAAGGGAGTTCTACGGAGAAGCTATTTTGGTCGCAATACCTTGCGCCAG